CTAGTGTTTAGAGGTAGCCTGTCCCAAGTCCGTTATTTAATTAATTAATTACATTTTTATTAATATCTTGTTGTAATCGAAAACTACCAATTAACCTACTTTTAAACAACAAATAATTTTTATTTAGAACTTTACACAATTGTGTAGTAAAGTGACATATGTGAGTATTGTTCAAATTACGACTTAAAATGTGTGCGCTGTACTATTACCACAGAATAAATAATAGTACTACGTACAAAAGTTGCACTCCTTTGATGTCGACTGCTTACCGACGTTTAATAGCCTACATAATTATTATTAATCAGATAAATCGCACACGCAAGCTAAATAAAACTTTATCGCTGCGCGCTAGTGTCCATATTACTTTGCATATTTTTTGTCTCGGCGGACTCGTGGTTATTAAGGGATGTCAATAGAAAGTAAAAAAATACATTGGGAAATGATAATTATGTTACTTAGGTGAAGTACTAACTAATATTCTGACTATGATTGACTAACCATACTTTCACCCATATGCGAGTTCTGCGATAAATTTGATCTATTCTATTTAGTTAAAAATCTTGTTAGTATACAAGGTTTTAATTTCAGTATTTTGTGTTATTATAACTCAAAATATTTTAATTACAAAAGACAAGTATAGGTATGTAAGTAAATACTTGGATAGTGAAGTAAATTTTAACTAATTTTTGTAATGAAGTACTTAGGTATTTCTTCTGTAGACCAAATTATTACTTAATTATTTTTTGCTGTGAGTACCTATCTAACAAAAAAATTAAATAAATTCACCTTTTATAACTTCCTTCTATAGTTCTTCGGTAACTTAAAGAATGATATGAAACCTTTTGTTGGTCATTTCATTTAGTATCCATCTAAACAACAGGTAGTAGTAATAGTAGGAACGACGTTTTGCTTTTATAATTTATCAAATAGATAATATACATATTATATAATTTTTAAAATACATTAAAACTTTTACAACAATTTTTACCTACAATTAAATATACTAAACACTAAACAAAAACTATTTCAACAAGTATTTACATAAAACTATTTACGTAAACAGCGTTGAAAAACTCTAACATTCAATTGCCTCCAACGCGCTAGCCCTGACTGCGTTATTTCGCCCGGGCGCGTCGCAATTTTAGGTAATTATTTCACGCAGGTAGCAAGAGTGATAGAGGCCTGCTATTAGCTTAATGTGACATGATCATTTGCCTCCGGTTTACAGATATGTGTTCTGCAGTGTCCATTAATTAAATATCTGAAAGATTTAATGGTTTGTTGCAGTTGCAGTTTTCCTGAAAATGATAATTTACATCGGAGTTGGATTGTAGCTACAGGACGAACAGATTGGACACCAAAACCGTCATCAAAAATTTGCAGCAGACATTTTAAAGATAAAATGTTAATAAAAAAGAAGAAACTTACTCTGCTATTACCTTATGCTGTACCAATTCTGGTAAATATTCAGTTAATGACATATTAGTACTATGTAGTACAATTATCTTGTTAGTTGCAAACATTATTTTGCATTTTAATAGCAATAAATGACTGAGACAGGCTTCTTTTAGACTCTGAACGCGATTCAAGTTTTAACTATCAATATTAAAACTTGAATCTCGTTCAGAGCTTAAAATACCAAAAACTTTAAATTCAATTTTCTGTAAAAAGCATCCTACACCAATTTTGTATAAATTAATGTTTAAAACATAATTAACTTTTAGAAAACAAAAGCCTGTATTTGAACATCTTCCTCCATCAATTTACATCAGTGATTCCCAAAGTGGTCTATATCGGCCCCTAGGGGTCTATGACAACCTGCAAGGGGTCTACGTCAGCGAAAAAAAATTTGCGGGTCCATGAAATGAAAACGGGGGTCCACGATAGTGGATCTCAACACATACACTGATAGTACCTATTTACTTACATCATACTATCTTATAATATCGAAACATATACATTATTTATAAAAGTATCTATGAAGTTAAAAATGTATTATATATGTTTATAAAATTGTGTAAGTTGTAGGATGTTGGTATTCGCTTTGTGGCCCAATACATTTTGAACTTGTAAAAACCTGAGAGTCGCAGTCTCAGAGCTTCGCTACCTTGCACTGACTTGTTCAATTCGTCACTCTATGAATACGAATATGGGACAAATACGTTTATTCGTTTCCTGAATCTTGAAAAGGAAAGTGCTAAGAAAATATTTAAAAAAATATAAACAGATAGTATATCACACAAATTATAGTGAGTCAGTGTTATTTTGTTTGAGAGTGCTGGAGAAAAGTAAGTACATTATTTTTTTTATTAAATTTTAGTTTTGTACTCGTAGTTAACAAAGATAGATAAATTAGGCCAATCATGACTTTAGTTATTAGTAGTTTAATATTCAATCATGCAAAATTACACGAGTACTCCTCAATAGTTTCTTTTTGAAAGTTTTAGCAATCGGTATTATAATTACAGTGCAATCTCCGTAATTTGAGCTAATTGTTGCAAGAAGATGTTCGAATTATGGAATGTTTTCGGAAAAATCAAAAAATATTTTTAATATACAGCTGCTGGATTTTCTGTCTTATTTAAATAATTTAATTATGCCCACAGACGACCGATGCCATGTCCGAATCTAAAAAGAAATGTAGACAGTACAGTGTCGATTATTTGAAATTTGGCTTCATTCCATCATTGCCGGACAAACAATCGCCTATGTGCCTTTTATGCAACAAAGTTCTGAGAAATGACGCTATGAAACCGTATAAACTGCAAGATCATCTGAGAAGATGCCACCCTTATAAAACAGAGAAAGATTTGAAATACTTTCAAACACTCGAAGATAAACTTCAGAAGACACCTACACTGGACAGAATGTTCGCTTCGACGTTACAAAGAAATGATGATGGTTTGCGGGCGTCTTACAATATCTCGTTACTTATAGCAAAATCCGGAAAACCGCATACTATCCTGCATCTGATATCATTTAAAGAATTCCCTCAAGCAACAATACTGTTGAAAGACGTATTGATGAAATGAGTTCTGATATTGAAAGCTTCTTACGTAATTATTTGCAAACGACCCATTTCTCTATACAACCGGACGAGTCAACTTTACCTGATAATGCAGCATTATTATTGGCATATGTTCGTTTTATTATGAATCAAGAAATCTACGAAGAACTGCTCTTCGCAAGAACTTTGATAACCGACACTAAAGGTGAATCAATATTTCATATTTTGAAGGATTACTTCATTGAAAAACAATTCCTTTATCAAATATAATATCAGTGGCTACAGATGGAGCACTTGCCATGGTTGGACGTTATCGTGGATTTATAAGCTATTTAAAACAAAATGTGTCAGGGGTATTAGCAATACATTGCGTCATCCATCGACAACATTTAGTTGCTAAAAAATCTAGATTGCATGAATCACTTAATTTAGTCATTGATGCAGTAAACCGAATCCGAAGCAACGCGTTGAATACGCGGTTATTTGCGCAGTTGTGTGAAGAAAATGACGACCACTTTCATCAATTACTCCTTTACACTGAAGTACGCTGGCTGTCGAAAGGCTTATGTTTGACAAGATTTTTTGCACTTTTTGAGACTATTTTAGAATTTCTGGATACTAAAGATAAAATTTTTAAAGAAAATTTAATGAAAAGGAAAACAGACATGGCCTATTTAACAGATTTGTTTACAAAATTTAATAAGGTTAATTTGCAATTACAAGGCGACAGTTTAAATTTTATTAAAACAAAGTCCATCTTATCAGCGTTTCTTGCCAGAGTTAAACTAATGAAGCAAAATATTGGACGGGGCGAATTTTCTCAGTTCCCCAATTTGTCACAGACAAACTGCCAGGAAGACGACGTTTCAACTTACGTTCAACATTTAAATGCCCTCTATTCAGATTTTGAATCTAGGTTTGAGGATATTTTAACTATGGTAATACCACCGTGGATAATTAATCCATATGGTGACATAGAAGAAACGAATGTCATAATACAAGAGGAACTGACTGAACTAAGTACAAACGAAGAAATTAAGGTTCAGTTTAAAAACGGATATCAGCAATTCTGGCTGCAAAACAACATACCCGTTACTTATCCCGTATTATGGAATATAACGAGGAAATTTTTAATTTCCTTTCCATCATCATACCTAGTGGAAAGGGGGTTCAGCACTGTTACCAATCTCCTAACGAAAAAAGAAACGGACTGGACATCATTAGCCGAGGAGATTTAAGATTAACCCTTACAAAATTGACGCCAAATGTTGATAATTTATTATTAAAGCATCAGGTTCATCCTTCTCACTAAAAATATTGACTTATTGCTTATGTTATTTTGTTTATAGTTTATTTAATGCTGCGTATATTTTACATAACAGATACAAAATTTTATTTTGAGTAGTTTTAATTTAAATTCAATTAATAAATTTATAAATTAACATGTGTTTTTACTTTATGTTTTTAACACTAAACTTTACTACAGTTAGAAATTTACAGGAAATCAATATCAGATAAGTAGGGGGTCTACCCAACACGGAAAAACATGGCAAGGGGTCTACGACACAAAAAGGTTTGGGGAACTCTGATTTACATGAAGAATCACTTATGGAAATTGATAATAATTTATGCATTCCTGTAAGTAGGTAAACAATATTAAATAAAAATAATATTATTTTTCCTTGACCCAATACAAAATCGAAGGGTTAAGTGGACAAAGGTGTAAACTAGCAAATAGTTCTAAACAACTTATGAGTGTTTAAAAATAATAAATAATCAAATGAACTCAGGACTAAAGCATACAGTTTTCCATCCTTCTCTGCAGCTGCTCGGTCTTATATAGCATCAGTAAGTAGTAATTCTAATCTAAAGAATTTCTGCAGTGAAACTGATAGTAACTTTATGCGTCAACAAGCTTATCTCACATTATGTTGCGTATCTCAACATTCCTTCGTGTTGCACACCGTCATTGTCTATTCTTCCTACTTCATAGGCATCACAAGACTCCCGCAATAGCTTGCTCGTATAAGGCAGCTGCTGGGTACCTGTACCCCCTGGAGAAGGGCTTCATTTTCAACAAGCCGCCGGTGCATATTCGCTTTGAAGAAATTGCCTCCGTGAACTTCGCTCGCGGTGGTGCTTCCGCTACCAAGTAATCATTTTTTACATGTTATTTCAAATGCCACAATTTGTCTTATTTTTATTATTACATTATTTTGTTTTTGCGGAACTCTTCTCTTAATTTTTTTAAATTAAAACAAGAGAAATTAATATTTCTATTTTTAAACATTTACCTATTTTTTGGTAGGTCTGTTAACCTCATAAAATGTTCACAGCATAAATAAGAATGGTATAAAAAAGTACCCTGTGAATTAATAGCCATATTATCAAATTTACAGGGTAAATAAGTTAATGATGATAATATTATTGTGAAATAAATATAAAGTTATAAGATTTAATTAGACAGCTGGCGTTCAAGTTAATATTCACTGGCATTCAACTAAAATAAATACCTTTTCGTTGACTAACTGTGACACTTGTTATATTAAATATTTGGGCCTACTGAAAGTCATACCTTTCATTCCGCCTGAATCAAGAGCCTCCTTATTTTTATGCAGAACCCTAAATATTTTTCTAAAATTAAAGTAGCCTAAGTTACCTCTTATGACATCAGCTATCTGCCAGTGAAGGTCCTGTCGGTCCAGTTATTTCAGAGATTAGCCGGAACAAACAGACAGACAAAAGTTAAAAAAATTGATTCTGTATTTGTTCTAAAAACCATTCATACTTTCATTTCATAACATGCAAAAAGTACAAATCTGTTACTTTGACAGACATTAAAATTTTATTTATTTGTATTGATGACGGCAACCAATAATAAACTTTAGTATTTCTTATATTTACGCGGATTTTACGGATTTTATCGCCGTTGATTAACGCATTTTTTTATTCTCGACGTTTCAAATATTTCGCAGTATCCATGATCATGTAAACTGAGGTGTTTAACATCCTCATAATTATTAAATATTATTAAATATTAAAAATTATTAATTTTAGAGATAAATAAAAACTAAAAAATATGTGGTTTCATTCAAGATGATAAACTTGCACCAAGTAAATGATAATTTTTGAAAACTATAGCGTATAAGATTTTTCTTAATAATTTTAACCTAACCTTGAACTGGAAATCTACACCAAACATCATCCCTGCAAATACTGTAATAACTTTGTTCAACCACGTCGCTAAATATATTGGGTAATCCTTTTTGTGATAAGTTTGGCACGCGATTTGGCAGCTTTATAAATAAATTATCTGGGCTGCGCTATTAACATAGTATATGAACATACATTCTTAAATTGTCCCTTCACATCACATTTCATGTCCGCGTATTTGCTCTGTTTGACCGAAAACAGTAATATTTACTAGTGTTCTTATATGTGGTAAAGCCATGCTGCAGTTTTATTATGGTTGTAGCACGAATGGGTCACATCGACCGGGGAAGGATCACGCTCTCACAGAATACCAGCATAAAATAGCAGCTTAATACTGCTGTGTTTCGTATGTTGAGTCTAGAGATCCAGAGACCCTTTTTTACTAGAAACGAGGCATTCCATCTTGGTCCTCAGGGGTGACAACGCATCTGCATTTTGATTCTTAATCGAGAATAGATGTAGATATCTATGGGCCACAGCACTCACTTACTATTAGGTGCATTGTCTACTCGTTTGTCACCCTAATTCTATAAAAAAAACTTCATTCGGTTCCAATAAATATTACAAAGGGGTTGCAGTGGTAATGGCTGTGATAATGATATTGGCAGACATCACAAGATCTTAAAATATCGTTAATTTATAAAGCAGGCTTGTATGTTCACTTCACGGCCGAAGATCGTGCTTAACAATTTAAGCGGCGCTGTTTGAACTCGAGCTGCTAGCGTAAAACAGAATTTTAGAAAAATGTCCAGTAGCTGCGTCACCACGGTCCTTCAAATACACTTATACTTGTAATAAATGACTTATTACGTAAAATGACTTTATCTTGTGTGGTAGGAAATGATATATAGTTTGACATTACTCTACCCAAATACGTGATAATGTGATAAATCTCAAGAGATCTGGCTATAGCGAATTACTTTAGCTATAGGTATATCTCTTGCTGTACAAAAGGCTTACTTTCGACACATAAATTGTTACTTACATTTATAAATATGGTAATTCCAGGTCATTTGACTTCGAAATAGAATTAAAGTCTGGCAGTATTCACACATTCAGCAGTATAGAAAAGGGAGAATACGACAAGCTGTTTGATTATATCACCTCAAAGAAACTGCATGTCAAAAATACTGGCAAGAATGTAAGTTTTCATTTGTTTATTTAACCTTTATTAATTATTACACGTCTTGTAATAAGGGATATAAAGGGCGAACTTAATGTCTTATGGCATTCTCTACCAAGTTTTTCATTAGAAATCAATTAAATATGGTGTTTTTAACTTTTATTTTACTTGATTATAAAAAAAATCTTACCATAGTTATTTTTTTTCCTTACCATAATTTGCTCATATCCTCCATATTTAAAATTATTTTTATTAACGGTATTCGAAATAAAGCCGTGCTGCAGCTACATTGTAGCACGAAAGTGTCGGCTCGACCGGGGCAGGACCACGCGCTCACAGAACAGCAGCGTAAAATAGCAGCTAAATATTGCTGTGTTTCGTATGGTGAGTGTAGAGAACTGGACACCTTTTTTAATGGAAATGAGGCATTCCAACTTAGCCCTCAGGGGTTATTTTGTTTCGTAATTGAAAATAATGTAGATGTCTATGGGCACAGTAACCACCCAATATCAGGTGGACTGTGGTCATTTATCACCTTTATTCTATAAAAAAATGTTTTAGGATAAAGCGCTGTACGACGATGACTTTGGCGATTCGGACACGGAGAAGGAGCCCGACGCGTACTTGGAACGCGTGAAGGCCGAAGCTAAGGAACGTGAATCCGACGACTCAGATGGAAGCGATGAGAGCACCGACGAGGACTTTAACCCCGATAAGGCTAACCAGAGCGACGTCGCTGAAGAGTTAGTATCCCACAGTTTTTTTTTCTGTTTTAGTAATCCGAAAGATATCATGCCTCAACAGATGGTGGTATAACCATTTAGCATATGTCAGAAAATGTTAAATAACCTTACCCTTTTCCCTTCCTACTCAAAATTACAGGCCGTAATAGTTTGCAATATTGAAGGTGTCATTGAGAGGCGTGTTCCTTCTAAGATCCTGGCAGCATCACCATGTAATGTTGGAGATGTCATCAGCTACTGTTAAAATTAATATACTGGGTTATTTTTCAAAAAGTAGTCAATATATTTTGTAATATATTTTGTACTTCCTCTATCACTAATTATACGGCAGACAGATGTGGCAAGCAACAATACGAAAAATAAACAATAATCATTGTTATGAAAATACGTAAGTTTGTTTAACATGGTCATGAATTTAGTGATATTGTCGAAGTTCAGGCGTATTATTGATAAGTTTATCACAAAGATGAGATACGCGTGATACCCATGAATAGCAACCATATAATACTTTAGCAGTCGATTTTGAAATGGCCCTTGATAGGTCTGTAAAGACTGCTATGGAATTGTTTAATGTTTGAAACCGCGCCAAAATCTCCGATTTTATAACACAAGTATCGGAGTATTTTATATGTGGTAGAGCCGCGCTGCAGCTATATTATGATTGTAGCACGAATGGACCGGCTCGACCGGAAAAGAACCACGTTCTCCCAGAATACCACCGTAAAATAGCAGGTTAATACTGCTGTGTTTCGTATGGTGAGTGCAGAGATCCGGAGATCCTTTTTTGCTGGAAGCCAAGCATTCCATCTTTGGCCTTAGGGGTGACATCGCATCTTCGTTTTAATTCATAATCGACGATAAATGTAGATGTCTATGGACCACAGCATCCACTTACCATCAAGTGGACCGTGTGCTCGTTTGTTACCACCCAACCTCATTTCCCATAGTAGAAATAATGGATTCTCGTACGCTGCAACAAAATGACTTGCGTAGTTATAAACGTACCATAGATTGGGAAATTATTACCCTAGTCGCAATTGGCGCATTGGCCAGTCAACCATCATATTATTCAGGAATGACATTCATGGTATTATTTTATGTGATGCTAATTGAAATCCCGTGTAGTGCTGGTGTAAGAATATCGACCACCCCATATCATCCCGTGTGTGTCGTAGCAGGCAACAGAGCGAAACAGGAAGACATCAGGAGATTGGCAGCAGCGTCTTCCTTATACTGTCAAAAAATAAAAACTGCGGTTGCCAGTCCGCTCGTCAAGCGTGGCAACTATGGCAAATATACCCACTATGTGGCAATCTGTGGGGGAGGCCATGTTGAACAGTGGACTTTAATAGGCTGTAACTAATTGAAATACTTCTTTTTAGGTATGACACCAATCCGTCATCATCCGAAGACTCTGATGCGTCAGGGGCGTCAAATGACAGCAAAAAAGAAAAGAAGAAAGAAAAGAAACCTAAGAAAACTATTACAATTGTATGTATTTACCAATATTTTTTATTTTCAGTGTAATATTTTGTGATTTTAGTCATAATATACATAATAATTATTATCATAAAACACTCACGCCTGTCACCCACTAGGCAGACACTGCGGACTCCCATTTAGCACGACCCTGACATTTCTTTCGTCTCCTTTACATCCATATGCATGCGTGTTTGTCGGTTAAGGGAACTCTTCATCTAGCCCATCCTCGTTGTTATCGTCAATTTGGTCGATAAACTCTCGTCTGGGGCTTCCCTTCCCGACTCTACCGTTCACTTCTGCAACATAGATTTGCTTTGTCACTCTTTCCTCGTTCATTCTTTCTACATGACCAAACTACTGGAGCATTCTTTTGTTAATTCTCAAGTCTCAAGTCACAACATCATCTTGCAATATCCTCTTTTCTCTTATCACACAATTTCTCACCCTGTCATTCAGATTCAGCATATTCTACTCTCGTGCTGCTTTTGCTACACCCTACTTTCACTGTACCACATTGAGGTAGGGACTAACAGCATTGTGAATTGCCATACATGCCTTTTTCTGACTTCCTACAATAGAGTGTAGAGCCCCATACACACTCTATTTCCTGCGTTCATTCGTCATTCTATATCCTTACGTGCGTGCATTGTGATAGCTGCCTTAAATTAATAATAGATACTAAATTAGTGGATACCGTGAGCCACACTACAGCTCGAAGAACCGCCAACAACAGAGGTTCTCGAGTGTCAGTCTCGTACCGGTAGGCGAAGTGTATGGCGGCCCCTCACTAAATGGGAGTAGCGACTTCGTAAAACATGCAAGAAATGGATGGATGCAGGTGGCTCACGACCGTGCTTTGCAGCATTCTTAAGGGAGGCCCATGTTCAGCAGTGGACTTGCGAAGGGTTCATGATGGTGATTTGTTATAAAATACTGGACAATGTCACGTATAAATATATTGTCATATTTCTACAAATATGGGTTTTTTACAAGTAGTCTGAAGCTCCGCGTAAGCTTAGGGAAAAATCGAAGAAACGAGAGAAGGACGCAAACGCACCAAAGCGGCCGGCTACTGCGTTCGTGTTATGGCTGAATGGAAACAGAAAGAAGTTTTTTTTTTATAGAAGAGGGGGCAAACGAGCATGCGGCTCACCTGATGTTAAGTGACTACCGCCGCCCATGATCAACCGCAACACCAGGGGAATTGCAGGTGCGTTGCCGGCTCTTTCGAAAGGAGTACGCTCGTTTCTTGAAGGTCCACAGGTCATATCGGTCCGGAAAAGTCGCCGGTGGTAAACTATTCCACAGATAGGTTGTACGTGGAAGAAACGTACAGTGGTGGACCGCCAAGCATCCAGATGGTGTGGCTGATATCGGGACGTTTGCCGCGTAGTGCGTTCACGAAATTTGGCGGCTGGGATTAATCCGAACAATTCCTCAGAGCACTCTCCATGATATATGCTAAAGAAAATGTAAAGAGATGCAACATCTTTTCGCAGTGCCAGTAAATCGAACTGATCGGAAAGCACTCGGTCGTCGACGATTCGAGCCGCTCTGCGCTGGATGCGGTCAAGTGGAAGGAGCTGGTACTGGGGAGCCCCAGCCCAGAGATGGGAACAGTATTCCATGTGCGGCCAAACCTGCGCCTTGTAAAGTTGCAGGCGGTGTGCCGGCATGAAATACTGTCCAGCTCTGCTGAGCACGCTAAGCTTTTTAGAGGCCAATTTGGCCTTCTCTTCCAAGTGACCACGAAACTGCACGTCACTCGATATGTCGACGCCAAGGATTCTGATACTGGCTGAGGCAACAAGGGGAGTGCCTTGAAATTGAGGAGATACGACAAAGGAGTTCTTTTTAGCGGTTAACGTGCAAACTTGTGTCTTCTGGGGGTTAAACTGGACTGGATTTAGTCGCCCCCAATCCGAGACTCTGTTCAGCAAAGACTTGACTTCAGACACAAGTTTGTCCCGGTACTCGGAGACGTTTTTCCGAGAAATATTGGCTCGGCCGGTGTAAAGAGCATCACCAGTGCTGTCATCTGCATAGCAATGAATGTTACGGGTTTGCAACATATCACTGATATGCAGAAGAAACAGCGTTGGCGAGAGCGCGCAGCCTTGTGGAACACCAGCATTAATAGGCTTGCAATCGGAACTTGCACCGTCTACAACGACCTTGATGCTCCGATCTGCAAGAAAGCTGGTGATCCAATCGCACAATTTCTCGGGAAGCCCATAGGAAGGGAGCTTCGGAAGAAGCACTTTGTGCCAAACCCGATCGAAGGCCTTCGCAATGTCCAAACTAACGGCCAATGCCTCCCCCTTGGACTTTACTGCCTCTGCCCATCTGTGAGTTAAGTAGACCAGAAGATCACCAGCTGACCGACCACGGCGAAAACCGTATTGGCGATCACTCATCAGCTGGTGATCCTCAAGGTACCTCATGAGCTGGCAGTTTACAATGGACTCCATTGTTTTGGACAACAAGGAGGTGATGGCGCCTTGGCGAGAGACCAGAATGCACAGGTTCCAAAAGGAAGACGAAATAGTTTCTCGCCAATTCTGCCTATGTGCTCTGACTTTGCCTTGGCAATGACTCTTTTGTAGGACCTAGAGGCGGAATTATACTTCTTTTTTAGAGCGCTGGTGTTTACATCCCGGGACGCTGATGCGTCAGCCCAGGCTTGGTAGCACTCCTGCTTATAGCATGAGTATATTATATTTAAATATTGTGTGTGTATACGATTAAGCCGTGGTAGCTCATATGGTTAGCGCAAGCTGTAAATTTCACAGTACGCGACCTGGGTTTGATCCCCGTCGGCATCAATTAAATTGTTAATTGCAATTTTAAGTGTTGATTTACCACGTGCTCGGCGGTGAAGGAAAACGTCGTGAGGAAACCTGCATGTCTGAGAAAATTCCGAAGGCATGTGAAGTTCGCCAACACGCATTGACACAGTGCGGCGGACATTTCCTAGTCCTAAATACAAAGATAATAGCAGAAAGTGAAAAGTTAAAAAATACTTTTTTAACAATGACAGTCATTAGCTGATCATTAGTAATTGTGATTCTGTTTACTTAAATTACAGGAAGACAAGAGCAGAAGGAAGAGATGAGATGATGGGAAGTAATGAAGCATTGTTATGTGAAGTTTGTTGGAACAAACAATTGTTCTTGTGATGAAGTGTGGGTTTTGTACAAGTGGTTATTGCTTGAAAATAAAATTTTAAATTAATCATAAATTTTGTTAGATTTCCCAAAATAAAAACGTTTAAAACATCGCGTGACGTATAGTGCTACGTCCTGTGACGTATTATGAAATAAACGTTGTTGCCTGGAAAGGACGATACGTTTATTCCAAGCATCGACGTGAGATAAACGTCGTTGCCTGGAAAAAACAATACGTTCATTTTACTTTGTATGAAGTTGTTAAGTTGTACCAGTTCTGGCTCACTGAGTCAGAAGTAGTTAATTTGTACCAGTTCTGGCTCACTTAGTCAGAAGTAGTTAATTTGTACCAGTTCTGGCTCACTGAGTCAGAAGCAGTTAAGTTGTACCAGTTCTGGCTCACTGAGTCAGAAGTTGTTAAGTAGTACCAGTTCTGGCTCACTGAGTCAGAAGTAGTTAAGTTGTACCACTTCTGGCTCACTGAGTCAGAAGTAGTTAAGTTGTACCAGTTCTGGCTCACTGAGTCAGAAGTTGTTAAGTTGTACCAGTTCTGGCTCACTGAGTCAGTAGTGGTGTACGTAACGCCACGAGTGATGGAAATGCGCAGAACCGAAAAATAGGTGTCGGCACGTGAGGTGTGAGGTACGGGGAAGAGAAACCATAACAACGGGCGACGCGCTACTCCCTTTTAACTCCGCTTCTAAACAATGCTGACGTGATCTTTTGCATATAAGGCATCGGAATATTACACGAATTTGATACAGAATGATGTATTAATATACACTACTGTTGTCCCCTGACTTGCCTTCAAAATATTGACTTTATACTTTTTCATTTACTTTATCTCCGATTAAAATCCAATATTCAATTGATCAAAAAGACCTGACAAAATAAACTATTATTTTGTAATACAAACCTGTAAAGTAGTTCGATACTTTTTTTTTGAGATAATTTGATTATTGAATTTAGGTAATGTCTCTAATGACTTATGGGCAAATATTAAACAACTTATATAACAAAAAAATTATTATTTGTCGCACGCGCACCGACTGGCAGGGTCGCCATGTAATATAGGAAGGATGTCAATGAAGGAGACGTGTGGTTGGTACTAAAACTTTAATTAGACTGCTCCTTAAACCTAAGTACATTTATTAATATATGCTAGTAGGGTGGAGGCACATACCCTGCATTTAAATAGACAATCCCGACGAATGGTCTATTCAGTGTTCAGTTACATGAAAAAATTAGGTACTGCGAAAAACATCATAGACGTATATAAACAGACTGCTGAGGCGACTAATGTCTCAGTAGCTACTGTACGGCGCACCGCAACACCAGATTTTATGGAAGGCATATCACCTCTTCCTTCTTCTTCTTAATAAAATAATCAATTCTAGCCCCCAGGTATACATTAAATACTTTATAGTAGATAATAAAATAACGGACACGAATATCTGCAACATTACTATCAAAGTAAAAGTTGATGTGTTCGAGTAAACATTTTCATAAAAGTCGGCGAAAATATTCAATTATGAATTGAAATAATAAAGGTACCCAATAATTTTGCCCGACAGTGTACCTACCTCCCACCACAATTTATCTGTACTTACGACTCGTGTCAGCAACTATACGTAGTGATTGTTCTCCTGTTCTCTAACCTTCATGGTCGCAACACATATATTTTGACGCATTGCCCGCCACACTAGCGTTGCGTCATCGCAGCGTTGCTACAACGCAGTCGTAACGTTCCGTCGTCGTAGCGGCGATGCGCAATTTCGGTGAGCATTTTGAAAAAACATCGCAGTCTATTCGAAAACATGGATCGAAAAAGATGTCTGGCATTGCTCATAATACTACGTCACCGCTGAAATCGACGCAAAATCACAAGACGGTATTAGGTAGATCCGTTCCTTAATTTCATTTAGAAATAGTGATGGACAGTTTTTTGTTAGAAAATCGGGAGGCGCTGTTGGACGAAAAGAAGTTTTATAATTTCTTTAGAATGAGTTTGTCCAGCTTGGAATATTTATTGAAGTCTTTAGAGCCAAAGGTACGGAAAAACTTATATGAGAAAACAATCAATAAATGTTATAATTTTTTGTAATGTTTATAATCAAAAATTATCATAAGTCATTAAAATTTAGAGTCGTTACCAGTAGCGGATTCACACATTTGCCGCCAGTAGGCTATTCAAATTTTGCCGCCCCTGCCAACTTCCACAAGTCGATATTTTAGTTCAAAACCATATGTATAACATTTTTTTGTCAATGAAATTGTAACTTTATGACTGGTGCACTATAGTTCTAGTTACACCACCTTTTTGCCGTAATTAGTACGATTGCGAACTAGAGGATCGATATGCCAGTTCTTAGGTTATTTTTATAACCCAGATTTAGTTATGATCGCACAAGAAAAAGTTTCTGGGTATATTTCTGAGCTAATGAAAGCTCCATCATGTACTTCTAATAAGGCGGGGTAAGATATGATTTAATGCTACTTACATTAGGTAAACGTTATTAAGTAATTTTTATAGCGCTTACACTTTGAAAACAATGTATTCAATTTTACGTGGTAGAGCCATGCTGCAGATATACAGGGTGTTAGTGTAAACACCGTTATCCTTGAAACCAGTGGTTTGGTTTCACTTATAGAACGTAAATTCAATGAATTAAAAAAACACAAGTAAATTCATGGATACCCTATGCGCCAGAGTGACGTAATCGCTGTAAAGATCACCGCCCGCGCTAGCTATCTACTCTACATTCCAATAAAAACACAATAGGTACACATAACCTGTAATGTAACTTTTCCTTCATACTTTCATCTTGGCTTAGGACAGGCAAAATTTGAGGAATTAAGGAAAAATTGAGATTTTACTAAAAAAATGTTATTGTTTTTCATTGAATTTAAGGTCTATAAGTGAAACTAAACCACTGGTTTCAAGGACAACGGTGTTTACACTAACACCCCGTATTATGGTTTTAGCATGAATGGGTCGGCTCGACCGGGGAAGGATCGCGCACTCACAGAATAACAGCGTAAAATAGGACCTAAATGCTGCTATGTTTTGTATGGTGAGTTTAGATAACTGGAAACCTTTTCACTGAAAATGAGGTATGTTTACACATTTAGTCATCAACTTTAACCACCACTCGGTGTCTCAACTTTAAGAACAATGTACAAACAAAAAAAATCGCTAGCACAAAAATTTCTTTTTCGGGGATTCCTCCACTAGCACTAGCTAAGCTCTATGTATAATTCGGGGATTCCCGCAAAAGAGCCTGACGCTGTCGTGGGGGGATTCCCCGTCCCATAATCGCAATCTTTGACGTCTCAGTTGCAACATTTCTCATTTGTTTCGTGAAGGAAGTGTGTTGTGTATGGTTGGCGTGAATTGTTAAACTCTAGATAGATATATAATAAAAAGAAAAAATATTTTAGAAACTTAAATGCTGTTTTGTAAAGATTAAAAAGATTGATTGATTCATATCGAATATTTTACAGGTAAGATAATTTTATAATTAAATTAAGATTCGTATCGAATATTTTACAGGTAAAATAATTTTATAATTAAATTAAGATTCATATCGAATATTTTGCAGGTAAGATAATTTTATAATTAAATTAATTTCCTAGTACTTCTATGGACGAAACCAAAAGTGGCTAATGTGCCCCGGGGAGTGCATACATCCAGAAGAAAAAGTGGATTTCAGCAAAGGAAATCTAAACAGGCTAGATTGGATGTAGCTCAGAGTATGTCTGGATCGATTTTTAAGTATGTTACAAAAACTGATGACAGCCCAAGTTCATCAAAAGAATCTGATTTTCACATGTGCGTCCGCCCAGAAAGCCCAATCGAGCTAGGTGTATTTCCAATATATCAGAATTTAGAGCAAAAATGGAGCACCTCTACAGTCAAGTAAATAAATTGGAGCATTAATACGAACGACGCTGCGAGCTAAATACCGTGGGCTTGCTGGCGTCCTGTCCCGTCAGCACGCCCAAGCTAGATCTCGGGAACCGTTGAGAGTACTATCGTGTATTGTGGTTCAAATTTTCGAGCAAAATTGGAGCACTCTGCTCCCGTGAAATCAACTTCGAAACTAGAATGTGAAAGGAGTTAGACGTGATTAACCGGTGGGCTTGCTGGCGTCCTGTCCCGTCAGCAAGCCCACGCAGATCTCTGAAACGGTAATGATTTGTTGCACGGAACGGCAACGTCGCGCGGTTGTGAAAATCGACAAATTTTGGCGGCCGAAGTGTTTTTCGCTGATAGCGCGAAAACCGTAGAACCTAGGATTTTGATCTATTTGGAGCATAGTTCTCTCATTCTAAGCTACGATTTGAGATATTTTTGACGACTCTCCGTTCAGTAGTTTCCACGCTCCAAGTGGGCTTGCTGACGGAACGCGACGCCAGCAAGCACGTTTTCAAAGGCCTGTAACTCGAGAACTATTGAAGCTACATTAATATTTTTTTTTGGAGCAGAGTGCTCTAAATAGGGCTCATCTGTAGAGTTTTTAATCATAATCCAAATCATTACCGTTTCAGAGATCTGCGTGGGCTTGCTGACGGGACAGGACGCCAGCAAGCCCACCGGTTAATCACGTCTAACTCCTTTCACATTCTAGTTTCGAAGTTGATTTCACGGGAGCAGAGTGCTCCAATTTTGCTCGAAAATTTGAACCACAATACACGATAGTACTCTCAACGGTTCCCGAGATCTAGCTTGGGCGTGCTGACGGGACAGGACGCCAGCAAGCCCACGGTTTTTAGCTCGCAGCGTCGTTTGTATTAATGCTCCAATTTATTTACTTGACTGTAGAGGTGCTCCATTTTTGCTCTAAATTCTGATATATTGAAAATACACCTAGCTCGATTGGGCTTTCTGGGGGGACGCACATGATTTTCACCTTGATGCAAATGCAAGAGATGATTTAGATAATATCAGCTCATCTTCAGGAAGCAACATTGACAGTACAGAATTAATTAACACAAACGAAGAAGATGCTGAAAATAATAGTAGCAGTACTATTATTGCTACCAATGAACCATTTCCTCAATTGAATGATGTCTCAGAATGGAGTATTCCTGTTCCTTACAATGTTGACATTGAAATAATAAAAAGGAATTGAATATTCCCAAAACAAAGAAGGACCATTTGCCACTGTTTCTAGACACGGAACCAAAATAAAAGGTGACGCTCGTCATCTCTCAAAAGATTGGTTTTATAAAATTATGTCTAATGGTGAAAAAATCCTACGGTCATGGATGGTTTATTCCCTCACCTCTAAAAAACCGTACCTACTGTTTCTGCTGTCGTTTATTTGCTATGGGCAATAATACCAATGTGGGAACAATTACGACTGGATTTCAAAAGTGGTGGAAATTAAATACGAAAGTGCTGACCACGAATGTTCAAATGAACATCTAGAAAATCTTGAGAAATGGAAAACTTTAGAAATGAAACTAAAATTGAATAAAACAATAGATGATGCAGCTTTGCAATTGATGGATACAGAAAAATAAAAGTGGAAGCATCTTTTGACGAGATTACTGGATATAACTTTATTTCTGGCTAAACAAAACTTGGCGTTTCGTAGACATGAAGGACAAGGCTCTAAAAATAAAGGCAATTTTCTGGAAATAGTAAAACTATTGTCAAAGTATGATGTAGTGTTGAAAGAACACATGATGAAATTGGAGGAAGATAAAACTTCAAAAGTATCATATTTGTCGCCAGATATACAGAATGAATTCATTAATGTTCTATGGAACCATGTGAAAACTAAGCTTGTCAACGAATTTAAATCAGCGAAATATTTTGGTATTATGTTTGATAGCACACCTGACATTTCACATATTGACCAAATGTCTGAAGTGATACGTTATGTGAAAATAGAAAATAGGAAAGTGGAAGTCAAAGAAGCCAAAGAATTGGATTTTTTCCTTTGCAAGGAAAGAAAGCTGCTGATCTAAGCGATGAAATTCTTGACAAGCTTAAGACAGACGATTTAGATACTATGATGTGTCGTTCCCAAGGCTATGACAATGCTGCTGTTATGAACGGTGTGCACGGAGGAGTACAGTCCATTATTAAAACAAAAAAGCAATTTTTATTGGTTGTATTGATCACTCGATTAATTTGTGTGGTCAACATTCATTTGCACAAAATGTATCATGCGTTACATTTTTTGGATCGGTAGGTATAGATAATTTTTTTTTCCGCCTCCACTAGCCGTTGGGAAGTGCTTATGAAACACAGAAATTATCTGTTAAAAGACTCTCAACAAAGCGTTGGAGTGCTCATTAGCGTGCAGTAAAAGCACTAGCAGAGAATTTTAAAAGACTTGTAGACGCAATTGAGGAGTTGTGTGATGGACGAGAAAATGTAGACACCAGAGGTTCTGCACAAAACCTCATGCCTTCTGTGTGCAATTACACTTTTTTATGTTATCTTTTCTTCTGGTATGATGTTCTTCGGGAAACAAATTCTGCACAGATTGCATTACAAAGTAAAGGCTTGACTGTTGACGAAACTGATACAAAAATAGAGGCAATTGGTTTTAATATCGAAGAAAAACGGGATCACATTGTGGAAGAGGCAATAGACATTGCAACAAAACAAAAACCAGAAGACTACGATATTCCAACAGAAAAACGACTTCGGCGTAAAAAACGGATGGTCAGCGATGCAGGACTCACGCTGAAAGAGTGAATGTCTTGACCAATTCAGAGTTAAACTCCAAACAAGATCGAATCTCTTCTCAGTCTCTTCAAGATGTAGCTTTATTGTTGGAGATCGTACAAAGTAATGCTTTACTTTTGGCGAATACTAAAGAACTGAAATAAGCTACATCTAAATTTATTGATTTTTATGATGAGGTCTCAGAAACCGAATTACTTTTGAAGATACCTAGACTGCGAAGACACTTAAAAGCCGCTAATGTTACGGTTACTGATTGATGTCTCCAGATTTTTTAAAGTTTATTGTAGAATGGGATTTTACAGAATCTCTTCCAAATCTTATGATTGCACTGAAATTGTTAATGAGGGTTCGCGTGTCCGTAGCTTCATTTGAGAGGAGTTTCAGTAAATTAAAATTAATAAAAAATATTTGCGGGCAACAATGACCCAATCGCGGCTTAGCAATCTTGGTATATTAGCCAGCGAACACGAGGCAATACAAAATATAAATTTCGATGAAGTTATTGCTGAGTTTGCAGCTGTCAAAGCTAGAAAGAAGAAATTTTAATTGTATAACAATTCCTTTTCTGTCTTAGTTACTACTGTGTTTTATTTCTTAAATATTATAAATAATAAATGATCCATGTCCTTTATCATATAAAATTTATTGTTTTTTACTTTCGATGGGGTGACACCACCAACTTCCGCACCGGGTGCCACCCAAGGTAGCTACGCCACTGCGTATCTGCATTTTGGTTCTTAACCCAGGTTTTACTTCAATTGAAATGCATATATTCTATTTATTGTCATTTTCTTTTGTTAATTTAAGTACAATATATACTGACGGATCTGCCTGAGTATTTATACCGTAGGAATATAACATTAAGACGTTGATCGTTACAAAGTAATGTTGTTAAAGACAATTATTCATTTAATGGTGTTATGAGACTATTTTTACTAGTTTAAAAACGTTTATAGTAATTTGCTTTTGGAACCGACGCGACGTGAATGAATGGCTTTCGGAACCCCACGCAGCAGTATTTGTTTCAGTTTTAAACGAAACTGTATTTAAGTGCACTCATTGCACAAAAGTGGCCCAAAAGATAAACCTATGTCCTAATGAAAAAAATGGCGCTAAGAATAAGTATAGTAATATTCTGTCTCTGAAACTTATTTATAAAATATATATTATGTCTATAATAAAAAAACTACTTAGTTTTTAAGTTGCCTTTACTACTTTTTTAATATCACAGCAATAATCATAGTATTTATTGAATTTACTTGTGAAACTTGAAAAGTTTATTATTCTAGATCGTTTAACTATTAGTGACAATTATGCACGTTCTTTACGGGTTGAACAACAAACTTGAACTGTACCAAACAAAAATATATATGTACTCCACCAAAGTAATAAAATTTGCGTTAGCTCATTCTTAACAATTTCACTGTCCGATTTTCAGACACAATTGAAAGACAGTAAAAATGAACTATATGTAGTACACGGGACAGTGTATGGCTTAATATTACAATAAAAGGTGCAAAAAGATTAATAATATCCATGTCACAACATACCTAATATTGTATTGGATTAAACATTTGTGAGGACTATTTTTTTATAGTTTTTGAATCTTATTTAGTTGAAAATTATTGGATATACAATATGAACAATCTTGGAGATGTACGACAACAAATTACATTAATCATAATTATTACAAAAAATGTTACTACATCCATAACAAAGTTTGATACGTTGAGAAATAGTACAATTGCAATAAGTTTGTTGAACTCCTAATACCTCTATTGTAATTGTTCATACGGGACAGCATTCTCAATTGAAACTTTAGCATGTTATTTAAATGCTTTTTTTAATATGGCAATTTGCTCAAATTCGAACACATACAGTTTCTGAAGTTTAGGTGTATTTTATTGGAATTTTTTTATAGCAAACATAATTATACACAATAGATAATAATCCAATCCATAATCTTAAAACATTGTGAGGTTTGTGGTTTCTTCAGCACTGCTTATTACTTATTATTATGTTAATCGCTGCCGCTGCCACTTCCGCTCTCTTCCCCAGATCCTGAAGTTGCTTCAGCTTCTGAAGATGAACCCTTCTTGTCTTTCTTTGATTCTTTGTTCTGCGAAATATGGTTTTTGATTTTAATCAAATGAAACTGTTTTCTTAATATTTTGACACAGACAACTACTATAATGTGAAATAAGAATAGAAGGGGAGTTGATCGAGCAAGTAGATGAGTTTGTATATTTGGGTTGCGTATTTAGCAGGGATGGGAGATATGATAAGGATATAGAACGACGAGTGAACGCAGGAAACAGAGTAAATGGGGCCCTGCACTCTATTGTGAAGAGTCAAAATGTGTCAAAAAAGGCACGTATGGCAATTCACAATGCTGTGTTGGTCCCTACTTTAACGTATGGTAGTGAAAGTTGGGTGTGGCAGAAGAAGCACGAGAGTAGAATAAATGCGGTAGAAATGCGGTCGTTAAGGAGTATGTTAGGGCTGAATCTGAATGACAGGGTAAAAAATTGTGTGATAAGAGAAGAGTGTAGTTTGCAAGATGATGTTGTGACCAGGATTAAGAAAGGAATGCTTCGGTGGTTTGGTCATGTGGAAAGAAGGGATGAGGAAAGAGTGACAAAGAAAATTTATGTTGCAGAAGTGAATGGCAGAGTCGGAAAGGGACGTCCTAGGCGAAAATTTATCGACCAAATTGGCGATATATTGAAAACGGGCCAAATTAGGAGTACCCTTAACCGACGAGCATGCATGCGTAGGTGTATGGATGTGAAGGAGGCGAGAGAGGTGTGTCAGGATCGTGCCAAATGGAAGTCTGTAGTCTCTGCCTACCCCTCTGGGTGACAGGCGTGAGTGTTTATGTATGTACAACTACTATGCATAAATATTAATACTATATAAATGATTTTATAAATGATAATTTAGGAATTCAGTTCGATCATATTTTCTATTACTGATTAATATTGTTTTAATAATGTTTAATGTTAATTGTTTTAATAACGTTTAATGTTAAATTTAATAATGTTTCCATCAAGTATCTATACAGAAAACAAATTAGAAACAAACAATTTTAGACGGAATTACAGAAGGAGAGAAGCGTTTTTTTTTTAAAACCACCGCACTATATTGATAATACATGAGGAAGTTATAAACAAAAATTTCATTCAAATAAGAGTCGTAGCAACAAAAAAGCGTAACATTAGAATCTAGTTACTCTAAAGCGCAATCAGTCAAGCGCTTCTCGCGGTATCGTGTGAAGACTTTAGCTCCGGTTACATATCGCAACAGACTAAGCGGGAAAAAAAAACTTAGCAAGTTGTACAAATATAACCATCTCTTAGAGACATACATATTTTTACTATTTAGAGATAAATGATAAATCCCACGATTGAAAATATTTTGTCGTAATTTGATAAGAACAATTTAGCAATCTGGCAACTGAGCACCCTGACACTACTCATAAGACAAGGTATGGTTGTGCGAACAAAAATTGTTTACAGTTTAAGCATAGAATAAAACAGCGCCATCTTTTTTATAGGAGATGGGACAAACGAGCATGCAGCTCACCTGATGGTAAGTGTCTACCGCCGCCCATGAATAACTACAACACCAAGGGAAATGCAATTCCTTGCGTTACCGGCCTTTTAAAAAGGAATAGGCTCTTTTCTTGAAGGTCCCTAAGTCGTATCGGTCCGGAAAAATCTCTGGTGGTAGTTGATTCCACAAGGAAGTTGTGCGAGGAAGAAAACTTCTTTTAAATCGCTTAGTGGTGGACCGCCAGTCATCCAGATGGTATGGATGGTATGTCGGAGTTGGAGTTTTGTCGCGATGTGAGATGGTGAAACTGTGCGGCTGGAATTAGTCCGAACAATTCCTCAGAGCACTCCCCGTGGTAGATACGATAAAATACGCAAAGAGATGCAACATCTCTTCGCAATGCCAGTGAGTCAAGCCTATCGGAAAGAGCTCGGTCGCCGACGATTCGAACCACGCTGCGTTGGATGCGGTCAAATGGAAGGAGCTGGTGCTGGGGAGCCCCGGCCCAGAAATGGGAACAGTATTCCATGTGCGGCCGAACCTGCACCTTGTAAAGTTGTAGGCGGTGAGCCGGCATGAAAAACTGTCCCGCTCTGCTGAGCACGCCAAGCTTTTTCGAGGCCAATTTGGCCTTTTCTTCCAAGTGACCACGAAACTGCATGTCACTCGATATGTCGACGTCGAGGATTCCGATACTGGCTGAGGCAACAAGGAGAGTGCCATGTAACTGAGGAGATACGACGAAGGGGTTCTTTTTAGCGGTAAACGCGCAAATTTGTGTCTTCTGGGGATTAAACTGAACTAGATTTAGTCACCCCCAGTCCAAGATTTTGTTCAACAAAGTCTCAACTTCAGACATGTAGCAGCCAGATTAATCAAACCTAAACGGGAATAAATAATATATACTCCGCTGCTACCATAACGCGGAAGGCGAGAATAAATAAAAAAACATTTTATTTCCTAATTATTCTTGGCTACTGAGATACTGCGGACTGTATATAGATAATTTGACGTTCTTATAAAGAAACAAGAAGCAGCCGCAAATATCATTCAGCGCCACACCGACTTCACACGCCGCTATCGTCACGTATCCGTCGACCAATGGTGAGCCGTTTCTTCAACGCCGCAGTTCGTTTCCTCTTGCTGTTCCGGAGCTGTATTCCACACCGCCGCCGCCCGCCGACTACGCGTGCGCACCGATCTGCATGTCTTATATAGCCCGGTCCAGCGACGTAGCTTCGTGAACAACAAACAAGTCTCACGCCGGGAAACGAAACGTAGATAATTGTATATTTTAAATAGTTTTCATTGGTCATAAAATAAGCAATATAATTGGCTAGGCAAAATATTAATTGTTACCATTGGCAAATCAATAGTGAGCCAGCCATATAAATATAGGTAAGGTTGATGCAAAATATATTCCATTCCGTATCCCATTCGACAGTACATTCTCAATTCATACTCCGCTTTGCTTATAAACAGTAGTTTCATTTCTCCACCTTAAAGAAAACCACTCGGAGTCTGTTAATAGTGGACAGTTTGTCTCCACTATTACAGACACAAGTTTGTCCCGGTACTCGGCGACGTTTTCCCGAGAAATATTGGCACGGCTGGTGTATAAGGCATTACCAGTTCTGTCGTCTACATAGCAATGAATGCTACCGATTTGCAACATGTCATTGATATGCAGAAGAAACAGCGTTGGTGATAGCACGCAGCCTTATGGAACACCAGCGTTAATGGGCTTGTAATCGGAGCATGCACCGTCTACTACGACCTTGATGCTCGATCAACAAGAAAACTGGTGATCCAATTGCACAATTTCTCGGGAAGCCCATAGGAAGGAAGCTTCGAAAGAAGCGCTTTGTGCCAAACCCGATCGAAGGCCTTCGCTATGTTCAAACTAACGGTCAACGCTTCCCCCTTGGACTCTACTGCCTTCCTGAGCACCCACGCCCAGGAAGAGTAGGGGAGTTTGGGCGTGTATGCTCAGCGAGGGATTCTCCGTCACCGAGGGTACTGGTACCCTCTGGGATAGTCTTATATTTAACTCCGCTGCCATGTTCAGGGGGGGAGGGGGAGGGATTGGGTCTCACGGTACCACTCACCAGACGAAATGCAGAAGTAATGCTTCTACTTCACGCTGGTTTTCTGTGAGGTTGTGGTACCACCCCGGTTTGAGCCGGCCCATATGTGCAACAGCAAAGGCTGCTGTGTAACTTTACCACTGTTAAATACATATGAACTCATATATATACTCATGAATCTCTTAAATACTCATGAACTACCACGGAACCAGTGTTTTCACTTATGATTATAGTTTTACCCTAGAACCTGTAGAAATACTCCCTAAATTATCGTAAAAAAATCAAAACGGTCTTATTTATTGCACCTAATTTTCAATATTTTAAAGAAAAACATTATTGCAAGATTTGAATATCATTTCACGATTAACCTTTAAATGGTGACGTGCGGTCTCAAAGGCCGAGCGGCGCAAGCGAAACGTCATATCATAAAAATTGCCGATAGAATTACCTAAATTAACACTTTAATTTTCTTTACACCAATTAAAACTTAAAGCACTAAAAATTTATCACACTGATTCACTTTATTTCGCTCCGAAGCTTCGCTTGTCTCGCCAAATTCAATACTTCCCCGATCGCACCTTGCAGCGCCTATAAATACACATTAGTACCGAATCATCCAGAACATTCAAGTAAATACGCGCACCAATCGACAAAGCGCCGAAGGTTCGAGAGTCAGCTTCCAGAAGCTTAGTTCTTCGTTTCGACAACAGATGGCGCTGTCGGTTGAAAGATTAGTGGTCATTTTCTGGAAAGCTCTCCCCTCGCTCCGTTAGCCGACACTAGTGCCAGATGTCAACTTAGCCGCGCAACAATACAATTAATAAACTTTTAAATACACCTTTGATTAATAATTTATAATAAGGTTAAAATAACGTTTACATCAATTATAATAAAAAATGATTAATTTTATTTTGTTTTAAAAAGTACAGTCCTTAAAAATATTTTTAGGATTATAAAAAGTCTGAAAAGTATGAAAGAGCGTTGTTTAATTTTTCTTTACCACTTTATTTTATTTTAACCCTTAGCCACCTAACGTGTATTCTAGTAACACTTCCACCTAACGTCGGTCATGGTGACCGCTTGCATATAAGTACTATTATAAAGGTAAAAACATCATAAATTGGCAAAAATCGAAACTACAAAAAAATTCTGTTGTTTTTATTTCAATTTCTTTCAATAAACTCTTCAAATTAATACTTCTTACTTCTTATTACTATTAATAAAAATTAACTAACGAATATTTTAATAAATTATAGGTTTTCCGATTAAGCTGAGTTCTAAGCAATAACAATTAATGAGACTTCTTAGTTTTTAAATATTTTAGTAACTTAAATATATAACCTCTTATATAAAACTATCATTGGCACAATTAAATCACAATCGTTACAAAATTACAACACCCTAACATTCACAATTTCTTGCGGCAGCGTACAAACATTTTTTGAGAACACTCAACGCAAATTGGATTTTTGCACTG